TATTCACGACTACAAGAACTATAATTTACTTTTTTTTTTAGCTTCACGTAGGTATTTTGTCTGTTATAACTCAATGCTTGTTCTGTGGTTTGAGGCTTTCCCTGCCAACTTACAAATGTTCTTGATTGACTCAGTAAAATTGTGGATGTGGCTACATGTATTGCTTCCTCTTTCCTTGAATAACAGCTTCCAATGCTCTACTACAGTCTTTATATTGCAGCACTTGCTGACACTGTTTGGAGCCAAGAAATCATTTTCTTTATTTCTCAAAATATTTCAGACTGGAATTTTTCACGCGTATCCTCAAAGAAAATGCAACTCCTTCTTTTAATTATAAGAAATTAAACATGAAAAAAAAAAGTTAGAAATGTTCCTTAAATTTCTGCACTTAAAACAACTTGAAAAAAAAATTGTTTTGTCAGAACTACTAATTGTCCTTTCTGTCATCAGGATCATTTTTTTATTCCCATGTGCTTGGGTGGAGCACATGAGAATATAGTTTCTGTAAACAAACAAGTTGCAGAATTGCTCTGTAAACCACTAAAGAGAGCTGCAAACACCATCATTCCCAACTCACCCAGCCTGAAAGACAGGACTGCTCTGTGTCTTTCATTGCAAATGTTTTTGTATTTGCCAAGGAGACTACTGACTACTTTTAGATAATTTAGTAAAAGTCCTGTTAAAATTAGAATTTTCCAATTATGATAGCACTTCTAAGTTGACAATGGGTTTTATACCATCAGCTTCCTGGGAAGGATACTTGAGCATTACCAACATATTTTTCTCCATTGTCACTCAGACAAATTAAGTGCATAAGTCTTCTCATTTGGCTAGAGAGACAATACTTGTTTTTATAAATGATTCCATTCAAGAAAAGATTGATTTGCATTTAAACTATTGGGTTTTCTCAGCTGCTCAAGTTAATCACATATCTGTAAAGTTTACCATGCAGTAATAACTCCACATTCTACAACTGCAATAATATTTGGTTGCAGAAAATTTTTCAGTTTGGAGCCAGCATAAATATAAAAAATATTCAGTCTTCCTCTATAGAACGGATGGACTATTACATACACTGCAGCTATACTTTCTCCTCTGCACAATGCAATTCATTATTCTTGGAAACTGCCCCAAAATTATTCTTATATCAAAGTTGTTAAGCATAGTCATTTTCAGAATTTCAACAGCAGATAAAACTAGTAACAGAAAGTGTGTTTTTTATAGTATGAACGCTACTAAGCCATCACATATTCAATACTGCTTTCATGTAGTCAGCTTCTAGTCTTGCTTCACACAGACAGTCTAGAAAAACATTTCTAAACTTTTGCCAGAAAAAGACTTCCACTAACAACAGACGTTTCTATTTGGCTAAAGTTTGAATCATGCTATCAATAGAAACCTATTAAAAATGCTTATCTGCAATAGTTGTGTTAACATAATACTAACCACCAATTTCAGGACACCTAAAGATACTCACACTGCTACAATACTTCAAAGCACATTAAGGAATCTCTTCCACTTTCATTCTCAGCTACTGTAAAGAATGGTACAATTGAGATCACATCAATCCTGCATAGAAACATAAATCAAAATCAGGACAGTGTTTCAGCCTGACCAATCTACAGGAATCACACATCAGATGGAATGTTTGTATAAATACTGATGGGAGTATCTCTGTTCTTGTTCATCTTGTTCACCAGCATGCAGATGACAATTTGGACAGTGCTGGATGAGACCACATGTTATTCAATTCACAGAGGACTCAGCCTTTTATGACAGGAAATTGCAAACCCACCTGACACATGCACAAGTACATACATGCAATTCCATAGGGTTTCATCCTGTTATTACCAGCCCTTTTATTGCATACGGATCTTCCTGGGCAGTCTGCAGTTAATGGAGCTGAGAAGCATTCAGTCTATCTCCTTCACTGCTGAATTTTTATTCTGTAGTTTCCTTGTTTTCCCAACACCAATCTGAACTGAGATCATGTCTGAAAATTGGCCGGTCTGAGAACTGGCTCAGGTAAATGAAACTGCAAGGCAGAAAGAAGTATAGAGAAACTCATGGAAGTTTATTTATCACTGGATCACTAGTCCAAAATTATATTAAAAATCAGTGCCTGTACTCCCTGTATAAAAGTTCTGGCACTTGACCCAATTCTTTAAAAAAATAGCATGACATCAATTAAATTCCCAAGCTTACATTTCAGCTCACTGGCAATAGCATGCCTGTGGCTCTCAGAAACCTTTGCCTCTTTGAAACATAATAATCTAGCTTATTGACTGAGAAACAGCTACTTCCAATATTCCCACTCATAAGATTAACGAGGTTTCTGATACACGGTTACCAATTTAGTGATAACATCCACATACGCTGAAGTGTAGCAGCTCATTTCTCTTCAGGTAGTCAGATTCTCTTAGGAGACAGAGATGCTCTCCAGTACCTGTTTCAGTTACCGCAAACTTTTCACTTTTCTAAACTGTGGAAATCAACCACAAGTCAGGCTGATTGGCCAGGCTTATTGGGTGCTACCTAACTAACTTCTTATTGATGAAGAGTACAGTCACAGAATGTTTGAAGCTAGAATGGACGTCCAGAGGTCATCTGGTACACCCTCCCTCCTCAAGCGGGATCATATCCATGTGGCTTTTGAACATCCCCAAAGATGGAGATGCTACAGTCTCTTGGGACAACCTATGTCAGTGTTCAGCTGTCCACACAGTACAGAAGTGCATCTTGATGTTCAGCAGAAACTTCCTGAGTTTCAGTTTGTGTCCATTGCCTCCTGTCCTGGCACTGGGCACAACAACTGATAAGAGCCTGGCTACATCCTCTTTGCACTTTCCCTTCAAGTATTTATAGACATTGATGAGACCCTGCTAAGCCCCCTCTTCTCCAGGCTGTAGGGTGCACAGCTCTCTCAGTCTCTTCTCACTGAAGAGGAGCACCAGGCCCTTCATTTTCACTCCAGCATACTCAGGACTCTCTCAAACTAGGAGACCAGCATTGCACACAGCAGTCCAGCTATAGCCTCATCTTCCTCAACCTGCTGGCAACGTTCTTCTTAAGGCAGCCCAGGGCTACCAGCAGACTCCACCACAATCCTTGCTCAGAAGAGTTGTTCCTAGTCTTTAAGAAAGCTGTTTTAATTTTTTGCTGTCTTATTCAGTAGAATTCATTGACTTATCTTCTTTAGTCAATGAATCAACAAAAACGAATCAACAAAATCAGGAAAGCCTGCCCTTTGTAATTTTAAGTGACTAGTTATGGATGCTCAACAATAAAGAAATTGCTATAAAGGTTACTGAGGCTCCTTAATAATGTGATTTTGAAAAGTTGCCACTTCCTTGCAATTATTTTTTTTTCATTAAGAGTACAACTTTGGCAACATGGAATAGCTTCTGAGACCTGACTGCACAGCTTTTGTGCTGCATTAGAACAGGACTACCAGAAACTTATTAAGTTTTAGACTAATTTTCATCCAGCTCCCAAATACTGCACTTACCTAATATCTGCTTTAAATTCTACCAGCTTGTCCTTCTGTTATCTGAGAAAAGCCAGGCTAACACTACTTCAAAGACCTTGGCCTCCGCAATAACATACTTTAAATACTAGGACTCTGATCCTTCACCTGATAAGAAATCTTGAATCCATGTTTAATTTTCTTCGGCTTGTGTTTATGTGCATATATATACACACAGACAGATCCACATCTTCTTTATTTTTTCTTTCAAGCATTTCTAATTACAAAATTGGACTGCTATTTACTATCATCCAATGCAAATTTGTTTCTGAACACCTAACAATCACAGAACACAGTTCCTCCACCAATGTATTGACATTTGCCTGCTTGGTCATTTACATGCTACCTACAATCAAATCTTTCAGATAATTTCACAGACATTTTGATCTGCGCTGAAATTCACAGTGCTAGGAAAGAATGGCATTCTCTGAGATGTACAGTGCACACCATCACCATTAGCAGAACCCAATTCTGTCCTTTCCTAACAGCTGTTACTTTTGGTATTCAATATGTGACTCTCCAGAACACGAGGTTGCTCAGTTAATGACCAGAGAACGGCTGGATTGTCAGTGGCTCCTCAGGCACTCCATTCCCCAAGGACAGGACGAGAGTCAGCATGCTAACTTTAGGAAAAGGGAGATCATGACTCACTCTGCTTCTCGACAAACTCAATTGAAAACACTTTATCCCCCAGCTTCCCCTAAATTGCAGAGGAACAACAGCATCACAGGTGGGTCAATACACATTGCCTAGCCTATTTCCAATGCAAGTATTTGGGACTTGCCTTTTTTCATTTATGCACAAAGTGAAACAGAATATCCCAAAGGGCAGCAAGATCCTAGCGAATGCTCCCCCTCGGATCACGTCTGGATACCCACGCCTTTCAAGCACGCTTCCACGAGGCTGCTCACAGCTCCGTGCAGCGAACCTACGTGGCCCTACAATACGCTCGGGGGCCTCCACGGGCATGGGCCAACACAGGGACAGAGCGCAGCGCTGAGAACAGCCACTCGATTTCGGCTCTGAAGGCATGGAACTGACCAAGACAGCCGTGCCCATCTCCTCGCACTCCACACCCCTTCGCAGCCGGGCTACGCCACGCAACACCACGCGCAGCGGACGGGCACGGCACAGCCAGCCACGCTAAGGACGCACTGTAAAGCCTCCGCTTCCCCTCAGCACTCCGTCACCCGCACCCCCAACCCCCGCGCGGGCCCGCCCTCCAACGGCGGCACGTGCCCTCCCATCACGCCCCGCGCGCGCCCGAACGGCCCGCGTCGTACGTCCGAGGGAAGGGGCGGGCATCGACCTCTCCCCGCCCGGCCTGCGAAGCGCGAGGACGGGACGCGGCCGGCGGAGGAGGGCGGGCGGGCGGCGCTAGGGCGGCGGCAGCCAATGGGGACGGCGCCTGGCGGGGCGGCGGGCGGAGCTCGGCGGGCGCGGCTTTGAGTTGCCGCAGCGCCAGCGCTGCTTGTAAACAGATCCCGCCCCGAGTGACGTGCGGCGGTACCTGCGCGGGGGCATCGGGCATTGTCCGCCGCGGCGGCAGTGGTGGGTGGCGTGAGCTCGCTCGAGGTCCTGCCGCCGCTCCCTCTTCGTTCTCCTCCCGCGCCGGGACGCGGCGCATCGCCCCCAACGCGCAGCGCCAGCCGCCTCTTTCCCCCCCCCCTCCGGAGCTAAGATGGCTGGCGGTGGGCGGTGAGCGGCGAGGGCTGCGGGCTGCCGGCCGGCCGGCGAGCGGGGGCGGCCGACGGGACAGCGGAGCGGGGGGAGGCGGCCGCGCAGCGCCATGTCCGCCTTTGCGCTAGAGGAGACGCTGGAGGCCGACTGGGTGGCCGTGAGGCCTCACGCCTTCCAGGAGCGGGAGAAGCACAAGTTTGTCTTCATCGTGGCCTGGAATGAGATCGAGGGCAAGTTCGCCATCACCTGCCACAACCGCACGGCGCAGCGCCAGCGCAGCGGCTCCCGCGAGGCCCGCGGTGCCCCCAAGGCCTCCAGCCCCGCTGCGCGCAGGGGCGCCGAGCCCGCCATGCCGCCTCGCGCCGAACGGGCCGAGGCGCTGCCGGGCAGCCCGCTGCGCTCCTCGAGGGGGGGCCCGGCGCGCAGGGCGGCGCGGGGCGCGGAGGCAGCCGCCGAGGAGATGGAAGTGCTGGAGCTGGGCAGGGAGGAGGCGGCCGAGGCGGGCGCTCCCGACGCGGAGCCCGCGGGGGAGGAGTGCAGCTGGGCCGGGCTGTTCTCCTTCCAGGACTTGCGCGCCGTGCACCAGCAGCTGTGTTCGGTGAACTCGGAGCTGGAGCCCTACCTGCCCGCCTTCCCCGAGGAGCCCTCGGGCATGTGGACCGTGCTGTTCGGGGCGCCGGAGCTCTCGGAGCAGGAAATGGACGCGCTGTGCTACCGGCTGCAGGTCTACCTGGTGCACAGCCTAGACACCTGCGGCTGGAAGATCCTCTCACAGGTGCTTTTCACCGAGACCGACGACCCCGAGGAATACTATGAGAGCCTGAGCGAGCTGCGGCAGAAGGGCTACGAGGAGGTGCTGCAGCGAGCCCGCCGGCGGATCCAGGAGGTGAGGCTCCAACACGGTCTGCACCTCGGTGTTATCTTTCCCTTCCTCTGTGTTACCTTCACTAGTAGTTCGTTGCTCTTGGGCCGGTCTGCCTTGGCAGAATTGACCGAGCCAGGGATGAGTAGGAGCAGGGAGCTTCACCTTTCCAGAGTCTCCACGGCCAGGATTTAAAAGGTGCAGATTTCAGTCTCAACTTCGTTGCTTTACTCTCTGCAATCAAATGCAGGTGTTTGTGAGCAAAGATGGGGGGGTTTGGCAAGGCCTTGCTGCCAGACTTCTGCTGTAGTGTTGCTTTGTGCTAAGATGGATTTGGAGCCTGTTTAAAAGGAGCAGCAACATGTGGTGTTTATTTTGATAATACAGTTCGGTCACTGGAGGCCAAAAAATTTGGGCTCTGGATGCTGAATCTGGTATTTCAAGTGAGATGATGTCTTGTAGAACTGGCATAGCTACAGCGTTTGCGCAGCCTTGGTAGGTTCTCAGAGTTGGGTTTTCAGCAAGAGCAGTCTGTTCCTAGCAAGAGCTCCGCACGTTGCCAGTGTCTGATGGCTTCAGGTGCTGCTAGATGTGCTGTCCTCGTACCTTGCTCTGCTCAGATAGAAGCAGTTAAGGAGGTTGCTTCTGATAGTTTCCAGATTCAGCATGTTGTTTGTTTTTTTTTTTAACACCTTGCTATACTGGAGAGTCTGTGAGACCTTAGATTTGCTTTGTTGGAAAGAAGATTCTTGTTTTTTGTACTTCTGTCACCTTATGTAGAATGCACCAGGTCTAGGTGTGACTATGTGCATGTATCAGGCTGTGGCATTTTGGGTTTTCGTAAACACCATCAAAGTTCTGCTGTATGGCTGTAATTCAAATTTAGCTGTTTCTGCAGCTCACGTATATCCTATGGTGTTGTGCTTTCAGAAATGTGTGGTGGTGAATCTTAGTTTTTTTTAAATCCTTAATGACGTGTGAACATACATATGTGCTATCTGTGTAGATGGCATAGTGTTGAGTCTGGGTAGGATTCTATGATTTCTGTAGTGATTAAAGTTACAGAGTATTAGAAAAATGTTGTCTTTTCAGTGATGAAATCATGGCAAGAGCATTTCAGTGTAGCACTGTCAGATGCATGTTTATTTCCAAACTGTTAAATTAGAAAATATCTTTTTGAATGTTTTTTTTTTTTTTAAATTATTTTTTCCCACTGCTTTTTAAAGGGCTGAATTAATCATTGTTAATTGTTGCATATTACTAGTCATCAGTCTAATGATCTTCTGCAGAAGTATTAATGCAGAGCATGTGGAATTGTATAATCTACCACTTTTGGCTGCATAAATGATTGGTAACATGTGCCTAGATTCACTTGGCCTTCTGCTGAGCAGTTTTTGGGAGTAGCTGATCAGTATGAGAAAAGTTCCTGTTAAATGAAGAGTTTAGGTACTAGCTATCTAACTTAAAGTTCATGGTGTTTTTTTTAAGAAACACCCTTTCAAATTTACTGTGCAAAAACTATTTGCTTCTTAAAGGGTCTCAACTTTGATCTTGTTAGCACCAGTGCTGTAGTCAACAAACAAATCAGTTATCAGTAGTCACTACAAGCTTTCTCCGTAAACATACAGTTCTCTGCTTAATGTTCTTAATCTGGTGCAGACAAAATGGCAGATCATGTTTGTCTACTTGACCACAGTAGTCTTCCTTTCTCGTGGTAACCAGTCTACTAGTGTGCCTTGTGTCAGTAAGCGGTATTTCTGTCACCGTCCGTGGTGTAAGTCAATCCTTCTTTAATTAAAGGTAGTTCATGTTTAAGAAAAGAAACCAATAGAATGACCTGCATTTTCCCTTTTGGCTCTCAAGTTTCTCTTTTCCTTGCTTGTTAGTGGTTTACTTGGTGCACAGTGTTTTTCTTTGAAGCAAATGCTGATATTGCCTGCCATTGAATTCGAAGCAAATGAAGCAATGGGAGATGGGTGTTGGTATTTCTGATGTAAAGGTTTCTCTTAATTTTAGGTAGAACCTGCTGATTCAGTGTTTCATCTCATAGTTTGATTTACTTTTCTAGCTATGCCTGAAATCTGCCTGCTGAGAATGTTGGATTAGTTGATGTAACAATTTTAAGCATTCAGATTTTACTTCTTGAAATAATTTTTAAGAAGGTGGGAAAGGGAGTGGAGGCCATCAGGCAACTAAATACTGAGGAGTATATACAGGACTTTCATTTACGTAATGTTGCAAGGAATACAAGTTTAGAACACCAAGAATTTGGTTTAACATGGTAAGATGTGCTTCTGAGGCTTATCATTACTTCCTGTATCTCCTTTTCCAGGACAATTTTCTATGTGCAGTTACAGTCTTCAGACTGTAACTTGCAGTTTTTTATGCTTATGTTTTTTTTTGGTGTGAAGGGACAAAGTGAAAAGCAGAACCTCTCCTGTTCATTGCTTCTGCATACCCTACGTGGCCATCTGTTGCTCCACTTTATTCTTAAAGTAATTAATGGTTGTTTCTTTTTGTAATAGGCATTTTTATCTCTGTCACAGTTATAAGCCTGTGATACGCCAGAAGAATTTTACAAGTAGAAACAGACCCAAGATGAGAGGAAAAATAGTTGCAGAGTAGTTGTTTGACATGCAATTATTTTCTTCTGCATAACTTAGTGTTTTGAAATAGTGCATCTTTTATTTTTCCTAACAAAACTATTAATTCTTAAGGGCAACTATGTCAAAGTAAATTCTCGTATCTAAGGGAGTAAAAGTAAGTTATTCTGCTTCTTTTTTTTTTTTTTTTGGACAACTATTAAACTTTTACTTGCAGCCTGGTTTATTAAGATTTATGCCTGTTTAAAAATTCCTTGGGTGCTGAGCTACAGAGCTAAACTCCCAAGTAGAAACATGATGTAAAACCAGTTAATGACCAGATAAAAAGATGTTACTATTTCAAAGCAGTGGATACCACCAAATCATTCTTTAGCATTACAGCTTCTTGGCCAGTATTTCTAAGACCTTAACATTTTGTATCTAGAAGGCAGAAAAGGTTATTTTCTCTACTTGTTACTGACAGTTTTCTGGCTGTTATAATGTGGGAGGACCTTTTCAGGCTAAGTGCACATGCTTTTAAGTCTTTGTGAACACAGTAATATCAAAGATGGTTACTACATATTTGTCATAGCTATGTTGGCAAAAGGTTGAATTCGTCACAGTCTTACTGAACAAGAAGTGCTGTTAGTATAAACTATGATTAACAGGGCTTGGTGGCATAGTCGTGCCAGCAAACATTCTCTTGTATGCTTATCCTTTTCTTACTCTTGCATAGCAAGTTGTAAGTAGAGAATCTTCTCTTTACAATTCATGCCTACTTTGGTATGTTTGAGTTAATGGTACCTGTAAATCTCTCTTCCTTAGAGCACAAAAGCTGCAGCGGTCTGAAATTTGGCAGGTGACACTGAATGTCAGTTACAAAACCTGTCGCGGACTTGCTTTCATTTTGCTGTTTCTCTGCATAACTTGTGGATTCTTATTACTGTAGGCAGACTGAGAGACCATTCTGCACATCTGTTCTCTGGGTTCTTTTGAGTTGTTCCCATATGAAAGCTCAGAAGTGTGTCAGTAAATGGTTTAGTTCAGAAGAAGTACTGAGAGCATCTTGTTTTCAGTGTCTAACTTCTGACTGCCTTGGAGCTGGCAGCATCCCTCTTGTTCAGTGGAATGTTAAGCACCAAACTAACTGTGTGAACTTCAGTTTTGTGTTGGTTGACTTTATTTTCTTGCAACTAGAAAGGTTTGCAAAAAATAAGATTGGATTGTTTTATGTATTTTTGTCTTGGTAACAACTTTCTTCAGAAGAAAATTTTTTTTTTGTTCGCTGTTGGTGTGGTGGTTCTTATTTCTTCATTTGTTTGTCTCCTTTACAGAAAGCTGTTCTGATACTTTCTTCTTAGTTGGTAGGTGTGCTTGTAGGGAGGCACTCTCACAAAAATTTTTTTTCCATAGGTAAAGTGACCTGTTTGTATTCGATGATCTGCTAAGCATAGTGTGATTTACAAAGATTTCAACATCAAGGTATTAAATTATCCAAATTTAAGTAATCTGTAGTGGTATGGAGAAGTACTTAGTGCGCTAGCACAAAAAATAAGCACTGGCAGTGGTGTTTCTGTCAAAACCACTGTAACATCTCTATGAAAGAGATACAGAAAACTGAATGTTGGATGTTAGCTGCAATAGCTACATTCTGGAGATGCATACAGTGCCTTATGGGACAAAAGAACATAGCCTAAATTAAATTGGCATGCATGGAGGATTAAAATGAGATATGCTCTAGTTTTTGGGGGGCTTTTAATCTCTATTGAAATATATAGAGCGGGGTCAGACTATTGCTGAGCATTCTGGAATTGCAGCCTGTTTTTGTTTGAGTTCTGTTCTTATGTACTCAGTTACAGAGGTAACGCTTTTTTTCCAGTAAAACTGTTTTGATTCATTTTGAATACTTCGTAAATAAGCCATTTAAGTAGTATACTGTAAGTTACTACTAGACAAAATGTAGTGTGTCAGCAGTTGTAGAGCGTGCTCTGTACAACAGGTAAATCAACCCCACGTTCTTAAGAGCAGTTCCTTGAGAATTGTACTCTGGCTCTCAGCAACTTCTGTTGCTGTCCAACCAAACATTTTTTTTCCCCTTCTTGAAGGCCACCGTCCGCCTATTTACCTCGTCAGCAGTTGGAGTCATTAGCAGTCACATTTGGTTGTTACAGAGTAGTCTTGAGGTAATAAACATTTCAGATGTCCTGCATTTTAGTGGCCGAAAGTTCATGACTGACTCATTCTGTAAGTATACCCGCTAGTCACGGTAGTGAGTATATATTTTCACAAAAGCAGAATTAAATGTGCAGTGGTTCCTCTGCATTTTCTGCAAATGATGAAGGTGTAAACCAGGTAGATATTTTGCTTTTTGAAGTTTCTAAACTTTCGGATTTCAGTGAGTTTCTGAAATGTAACATTTATTTACATGCATGGAACACAGGT